TTTACGTGTTCTTAATCTTAATCAAAATGGATTTATACAATATGTACCCTGGCTTCTTTCACTCAACAGAATGTTCATGAGATGCCTCTGCGTTGCTGTATGCATCAGAGTGTGTTCATTTTCTAGTTGATGGACACTTGGGTTATTTCCAAGTTTTGTGCTAGTGTAAACACAGCTGTTATGAACATTCTTGGACGTGTCTTTTGGTGAACATATGCACTCATTTCTCATAGATACCTAGAAGTGGGTAGGTGGGTTCCGTATTAGTAGATACGACCCAACAGTTCTCCAGAGTGGTTGTACCAAGGGAGTTGGGATTTTTAGCCTGAGAAAGACTGGGAATAATGTGATGAAATTTACATTTTACTCTGCAACTCTGTGTTAGATGAATGGAGGGGAGATGAGAGTTAGACAGGGGTGCCAGTAAGGAATCACAGCCTGAGAGCAGTATGTAGGTAAGAGAGGCTGCAGCCTGACTCAGGCAACAAGCATGGAGGTTTTGAGAGATGGTGGGAAGGAGAACTGACATGATTGTTTGGCTGTGGCGAGGAAGGAGAGAACGGAGTCCTGGATGATTGCCAGACATCTGACTTGATGTCAGCAGAATGATGGTGCCCTGCTCTAAAGAGAGCACTTGTCAAGGAGCAGGTTTGAGGGAGAAGATGAGCTCTGGTTTGAACATGTTGAGTCTGAGGGTGGTATCCAGTGGGCAATTGGATACACTGGACTGAAGCTAAGGGGACAAATGGAGGCTGGAGATTTACATTATGGAACTGAGCAGATCAGCAAACCAGCCAGAGAGGGGATATAGAAGGAGGAGCCAAGAAGATGATTGTGAAGTCATTTCCTGAGAAGGGAGAGGAAAGCCAGGACCTGGCCTGCTGTGATGAAACCAAGACGAGGGAGATTTTCCTCAAGGAGGAAGTAGGCAATACCTCTAAGGCTGCTGAGGACTCAAGAAAGATGGGTACTGAGAAGTGGTGGATGCGGAGTTGAACCTAGTCATATGTAGCCAGGGGCACTCACAGTCCCCTACTTCTGGTCTTTCCCAGCTTTGCCAGAAGCACACCTCATTGAGACTGGGCTGGCTGGCCTGCTTCAGGCCTGGTTCATGGCCTCTCAGCCTGGGGAGAAGGGAGGGGAAAGGGAGAGGGAGAAGGAAAGGGGGATTCAGCCTCAGTCCCCAGAAAGAGCTGTGGCCTTTCTGAAAAGTTTGTGCGGACCTCAGCTGGACAATAGAGGGCAGACAGCAGCTAGTGCAGGGCCAACCAAGTCCTTCCTGACACTGAAAACATTGAAAACATTGACATTTGGACATAATTTCCCCCTGGAGCCTTTCCCCTATGGAAATTCCTAGTTGTAAACCATATTGACTTTAATCTCAAGTGTCAAAAAGGTTGCCCAGGAGTCTGGGAGCCGACCAGCTGAAAGCACATTTGTATGGAAGTCAGGGCAAACAAAATAGGATTCAGAACATTTTTTGAGATCTGCGCCAGTGGTGAACTTTTCCGGGAAACATGACAAAAACTGACTCTTTTTAGGCAAAAAAAGCACTCACTGGGTCTTATCATTATTAGTTTGTATTCTTACTGAAATACAAGTTAGGCAAACCATGAAGGGAAAGAATAGCACACGTCTTATTTCTTTACCAGGTACAAGGCGGCTGGAGGAGGCTTTCCTAGAGTTTAACAGGCAGCTTTATGTATTTATATGCTTTGGCTGGAGCTAAAGAGGTCTGTGCCACACAATGGGCAGTTTCTAGTTGGATTTTAAAAGAAATAACTTTGATCATTTCAAAAGCAATGAAGCCTGATGCAGTGGAGAGAAAGGATGGCTGTAATTTATGGCTACCATTAAGGACACAAAGACAAAGGCGGAGAGAACTTCACTAAGTGAAGATTTACAAATGTGTAAAAAAACTATCCTTATGAGTAGAAATAGCTGAGTGTCTCTCTCAGCACCAAACAAAAGGGGGTAGGAGGGAGGAGCAAAAGAGAGAAAAAAGGATGCAACCTGCCTGCCTTCCCTGGGGATGAAAAGGCTGAAAAGAAAAACAACCACAGAAAAGTTGTTTTCTCAGACATCTCCGTCAAGCAGCAGCACTAGCAGCACCCCCAAAAACGCAGTCTCAGCCAGGCCCCTGGGCCTGCCAGGGGGCTGCAGTGGCAGACAAGGTGCGCTGATGATGTGGAAGATGGGAACTTGGGGTGCTGGAGAGGCCCCGAGCAGACAGAAGCACTTTTGTGCATGAGCTAGGTGGGGATTTTTGGTGACATTTATTTTATGATCACCAAAGAAATGGTATGAATATATACAGTCACTGGAGAAAATTAAATAAATACAGAGAAGCTCAATGAAGAGCATTAATATCCCTGAGTATGATGCTTGTTTGCTAGAAATCGTTACTACATGTGTCTCTGCAGGGACACTGAGTGTACTGGGCTCCAGCCATCTGTGCCTGGGGTGATATGAGAAGACCCTGTGATGTGCTTCCTTGTAAAGACTGTCTTGCTTGGAGGGCCAGGTGCTGGGCACTGCCCATATGTGCAGCTGGCCAGACCTGGTGTTTATGAATTCATAACATAACTCATAGACCTAGCTGGAGGTAGATGTCACTTATGCCAGGCAAAATTGGGGCTGTCCCATGTCCCTGGTGGCTCACCCTAGGCTTCTAGTCCCCTTTCCTCTTCACGGTTCAGACTGCCCGGAAGATACACACATAACTAGTTTTATATGTATCTGACCCCAGCAGCAGGACAGGGAGGTGACAGCTTCAGCGTGCCCCACAGTGGGACAAGTATGCCAGTGGGATAAGTGTGCCAGGCCCTCTCTGGTCCCTCAGAGGGGTGTGGGATAGGGGATCTGAGAGGGCCTGGGTTGGGCTCTTTGGAGAAGAGAGCAGAGTGAGTTTGGGGGGATGACAGAAACTGGGGTTACCTTCTCCACTCAAATAGTTTTTTTCCTGAAATGGCCTGTCCAGGAGTCAGAAGCATATGCAAATCACCCCACTGCCAACTCCCAAGCGGAAAGCCACAAGATGGCTTTGGGGTTTGGGACTATACAGGACACTTTCTGGGAGCCCTGTACCTAACGTTTGAGCCTAGAAAGATGGTTTGTGAGCACCAGAGGGAAAGTGTCAAGTTGTAGGACGCAGCAAACAGGAGGAGCCCCTAGGCTCTCTGCGTGCTGCAGCGGAGCGGGAGGCGGGGAGTCCGTACGGGCACCACGCAGCCCTCCAGCTCCAGGCTGACAGCCGCCCTGGGGCCACCGCGGCCGCGCCCCCTCCGCCCGGGGCGGGGAGGGAGAGGGAGGGGGCCGGGCAGGGCCGCACTGCCCCTCACGCCGCCCTCCCGGGCTTCGGGGAGGACCGTGTGAAAATGAGGCCGGGGCTCGGAGGGCGGGCGGGGCCGGACCGGGGGTGTCAGAGCGCGGCGGGCAGGGCGCCCG